TCGAGCAGCATGCAAATAGTTTTACTAGGTATTTTAAATATCAAGAATATCTGCTCTCTCTCTCTCTCTCTCTCTCTCTCTCATATCCTCTCTTCTCGATCTCACGATATCGCGCCGCGCCACGCGGCGTGATGTAACGCCCGCGCACGCCAGAACCATGCCAAATTCCACTTGCCGTGCATATACAAAACAATCTCACGTTAAGTTATTCTTTAAAAAAAGATTCCGTGCATTTTCACGATAAAGTACGATGAACTTTGAACTTTGGATTGGATTGACGCGTCTTTCTACGAAATTAAAGAGAAAAATTATCGATAACTACTGATAACTAAATGGGGCCTCAGTTTCTCCCAAAAATCGTGATATGTCCCAAGTTGAATAAGTAAAAAAAAAATTATTTCGTTTTATCGAAAAAAAGTGAGAAGTTGCGTGTTTGTGCCTTCTGAGATAAATTGAATTACAGCGAAATCGCTTTCGCGGAAACAATTATTATCTAATTTCAGTTGACGTAATCGCCGTTATCATTACGGACTTTCTCGCTCATTTTCCTTCACTTTCGGAAATAATTATTTAGCCATAAAAGTGAAAACATATTTCTTTTAAAAAAGAAAGAAACTAGTAGATTTTGTAGAATGCAATTATTTTAAATGAATCACTGATGAATCTCTCGGTGTGGAGGGAGAACTCCACTTAGGACTCATATTTCATATCTATCCTCAATTGTAAATTCGAGTTAGATTTATGTTGTGACACGTGTGATTATCTAATACAATACGCGTGGCTAGAATAGGTTGTTGATAGGATTCGAGGGCAAGTTTACCCTCGAATTTCGATTATGATATAATCGGTCACGGTCGCTGAGCGGCTGATTGCGCCACATTTCGCACGTGCGTGCGCGCGTGCGTGCGTCGTGTGCACCTGGTGCCTTTACGCGACTACGCTGTCGCACGAGCTTGCAACGGAATACGCGCCGATGACGCTACACGGGATTTCCAAGACTTTTAAAAAGTCTATGAATATTTTGCGACGAACGATGGTCGACAATCGAAAAGATTTTGTTTTCTTCCTCATGCTTTTATCTTTAATTAAAAAGGAGAGCAGCGAATGGCAAATATAAAGGATCCAATGTCTTCGAAACTCTTTCTCGAAAAGTTTTTCGTTCTTTTTTTTCATTGCATAGGTTTAATCAATGTCTTTGTTTGTGACATCTCTTGTCTCTTTTTCAATATCAAATTTTTTAGCAGATTTGACAGAATAATTTGGTTGGGCACGTCAATTGCTAACTAAACCTATTTTCGATCGTATTTATATTCATTCTTACGACAATATTATATATTATTGATTCTTACGACAATAATAAATCGTGATCATTTCCGATCCGGCATCCCGATAACGGATGTATCGGCGAGAAGTATTAGCACATTTATTCTCGGGGAATTCCTGCGCTATTATGACGAAAAGAATATTATATCCAGATAGAGCGTGACAATAATGCGGTCTCGGCTCTGAAAATTCTGTGAATAAGTCGACGATAAAGCTGGAGGGAGCTCTGAGGGATTTGAGGTCGGAATGTGTCGCATCATTAGTTTCACCAATCGTGATTAACAATAAAACGTTGAAACATATTACTTTTTGCGATTTATCGATTTATATAACTAAGCTAAAAAAAAGCTTCCCAATCAATTAAATAATTAATATTAGATTCTCTTTCAAATCTATTTTAGATCTATTTTATAATCTATTAGATATTATTTTATTAAAATAAAAATCCATGCAATAAAATGCAACAAAAAGATTACTATTTTTTTTATTAATATCTCTGAAGATTAGATTCTCACAGAAAGTTTGCCTTTAAAGTTCATCTTTAATCGCTTACGCACAAATTGTTTTCGCATTTGCATGTTGAGAAAAGTGAAAAATATTTGAAATTAATTAAACTATTCGCAGAAAAAGTTTGTTATTAAAATGCATAGATATAGATATGGATATAGAAATTCTCACTAATATAATAATATGATATAATTATTTATATAATTGCAGTTTTCTGAAAATCAAATTAGATGAAGTATATTTAGATTAGAACATATCTTTACAACGGAAACATCAACTCTCAATATTTTTTGATATGATGGAACTTTTAAACATGAAAAAGTGTAATTCTTTGAAATGAAAGTGTGATGAAATCACACAGTGATGAAAGTCACACGGTTCCTGTGATCGAGGTATCATCGTTCTCTGTGCGGTAAAAACAGGCAGGATTTTCCTGTCACCTCTCAGGCAGTTCTCTATGTCATGAACGTGAATCTTTCCTTATGTATTGTACGTTACGATAATTAGCGACAATTAAGTTTTTAAATAGCTATCGTAACTGCAGGAAAACTTTCAGACCAAAGCACTTGAGATATTAAAAACTAAAGACGAAAACCCTGTCACGCTTATACATTATACTTATGCAGAGATTTAGAAGTGTTGATGCAAAAATAAGAAGGATCTTTATTTTTATTCACAAATTTTTAATATTAAAGAAGTTTAAAAAAAAAATAAAAAATATATATAATAAAAATCTCTTAACATTTATTTAGAGTAAATTATCTTTAAACAGAAATTAAGTAAATAACATAATCAAACTATAAAAATATTTGATAATTAAACACTTATTTAATGAATAGACATAGATTTTTTAAAATCTTCTTAAAACATAAAATGTTTTAATAATTATACATTGGCTTAAAAAACATAAATAAAATTTCCTGATTTTATAATAAATTAAAAACTTGTTTTTACCCAATTATTAATTAGGAAATAAAAGTCACAATCTTTTTGCTGTTTTTATCTTCAAAACTTAATAGTACTGTAATCGAAATTTTTGAGACACTATAATAATAGTAATATTGTGATATTCCTAACACAGTGGTAATATAATGCCTTTTTGTTTTGACAATTCCTTTTCAATTTTGCCTAATAATATTTTTTCCATTTTTAGCCTCCACTATTTATTCCAAAGAATTATTATTTCATGATTATTCCGAAGGACTAACTTAATTTCTCGAGCACTTACCATTATAATTACGTTGTTCCAAATTCTGAGGTAAGGCAGGTATTGTCTGTCCGGGCATCAATTTATTCCTCTCCATCGGGGATAATGGATCCGTGAGAGCCTTGGCGCAAGCGAGTTCTCCGCTCATGCAGGTCAGATGAAGAGCCGTGTTCCCACGGAAATTCCTAAGAGATGGATCTGCGCCCGCCAGGATTAGTCGCCTGACGATTAGCGGTTGGCTCGTCAGCACCGCCAGATGTAAAGGTGATTGCCAATCGTCGTTGTAAGTATTCAACAGGCATGGATGAGGCGCCAGCTTTATCAAAACGAGCGCAGCTTCCACGTAGCCCTGCATGATCGCGATGTGCAATTGCCTATGCGAACAAATGCATTATGTAAGAATAACCTACCAAAGTCTGTGTGAAAGAACTGTGTGAACTGTGAATTCATTATAGATCGATAATCTTTAATCGGTAATCCTTTCGATTCCACCAACGATAGATTAATTTTAATTTTTCTCGGTTCAACTTACTCTTTATCTCTTTTTTTTTTGTCTAAGAATTCTAAGAATTAGAACTGGATTAGTTGGTGGAATCGGGCATAATACTTTCATTTCGTTTTTCAAAATCGTGATTATATTGTGTTAAAATAATGTCGTCTTAAAACTTTTTTCAACACGATAGAGCATCTTTTTACATTTCTGTGTACCGTTGAATAATTTGTCATTTTTATAATAATTTTCGGCTGGATTTTTCAAAAAGACCATTAGTAAATCTAGTTTAATTAAGTCAATCAACAACTTTCATGAAATGTTGTCATATAACCATATAAACATAATACACAAATCATTAGATTTACATAAACACCAACGTCACTGTTATGCATATTGATGCTCATGCCTGAATTAACGTGAGCTAAGCTTATAAAAAAATTCTTGAATAAATGTTTTTGCAAAAAAAGGAGATATTCTACGTGATAATTAGGCAAAATTATAGATGATTATTTCTTAAATTAAGTTCGTTAATTATTTTATTATACAGTGAGTGTTGTTAAAAACAATACAGAAATTATTACGTCCTCTTTATTTTCCAATCTTTCCACCTTCTTAGATATATGCATAAAAAATGTGTAAATTTGAAGGATATATAAATATGGATTTTTTGTGTTTTAAAAATTGTATTAGACAATCTTAAAGATATTTAATCATAAGATATTTAATTAATCAATAGATTTTTAATCCTAAAGATCTAAAAATTTTTTCGATAATTAAATCGTAAAGAATGAGTTTTGCTATATTTCCTTTGCTATATATTTTTTGATAAAATCACTATCGCTAATAATTAAATTTGAAATATTATTTAAAATATCAATAAAAATAAGGAGAAAGTTGTTAACAACAATATAACAAGAATGATAATTTCAATCTTTATATGCATGTGAATTTATTTAATCTTGATTAAATAAAATTATTGTATGTATGTAAATAATATATATCTTGCCAATAACGCATTATTTTTTAATAATTGATTCAATTCACTTTACTTCTAAAGATCAATTTTTTTATATTTTATATAAATTTTTTACAAATTTTTTATAAATTTTTTATAAATAAATTTTATATAAAACAGTAATAATTATGCATATAAGTTGTTTAATAGTATGAATTGTATAATTCAGTTTCACTCGAAAATTGTTCTTCATCTCAAATTCCGCGTTGCTATCCTCGTCATAAACACAGTAGTTGTATATATTTACATTAGCTTGACTTAGCTTGATTTATGACGTTTAGAAAAAAAAAAAAACATCAACTAACACTCCTAATGAGTGTTCTCTCAATGAAGTTAATAATAATAATAATTTATTGCATGTACAAGATTGTTAATAACAAGATAATTAAATATAATCCATACAAAGAGCAAAGTGTACATATAAAGGTAAAAATGTACAAATCAAGGATTTTTTATGCAAATCAAATCATTAAAATCAAGTCAAATCATTAAAATATAACTATTAACTTTTTATTGAAATAATTATTATTATAAAGTTAAATTCAACATAAACATAATAAAATATAATTTTGTAAAATTGCCAGTATATATGTGATTCGCATGTAAATCTCTTTGATTCCAAATCTTTTCGAATAGTTTAGATTTAAATCGTAAAGATTTTCGGATTTGGAATCAAATCAAATCAAGTGAATTCAAGTAAGATTTGAATTATTCGAATTGAATTGAATTGAAGTAAAGAGTCAATTCGACTTCAATTCAAATAGTTTGTATATCTTTATAAAAGATAAAATAAAACTTAGCAAGCTGCTCTTAATATTATTATTGGATATTAGATATTTATTAAAGGTTTGATAAATATCGGACTCACGTATCGCCGTCGTTGTCCTGCATGCAATAGAGTTGCCAGTCATTTTCGTTGATTTTCATGCATTTTTTGACATTTTGCTGATGCCGTTTGAATAGGAGATCATTCTGGTGTTGTAGCCTCATGTGGTTCGGTATTGGTTCCGTTTTCACGGGTGTCAGCTGAAGGATCATCGTCGGCTCAGACTGAATCAGATCATCCTTATCAATAGATAACGGATTCAGGCTAGATTGTCTTAAAGAGAGATGGTTCAAGCCCTCGCTGAGGTCAACGTCCACGATGCCACTGTCGGTGACTCGCATTGTCTCGTCCGCGACCACCGTCGTCGTCGTCGGCGACGGCACGGCGACGGCGACGGCGACGGCGACGACGACGGCGACGACGACGGCGACGACGACGACGACGACGACGACGACGTCGTCGTCGAGATCGTTGCCCTTGATGCAAATGCGGTTCGCCGATTCTCCTTCGTCTGCGAATCGCGAATTTCGCCGCTGATCTGCATATTGCCAGCGGACAGGAATCCGGAGTCGGCGTTATCCGTCGCGAAATCGTCGTCGTCCCGCTTCTTGTCGTCCCCTCGGACGCGTTCCTCCATCTGAGCGCTCGCGCTTGGAGAGTACCACATCTTCAACTCTAGCCTCGGGGAGTCGCCTGCCAAGTGTCCCGCTTCCTTTGATCCGGATTACTAGTCCGGGTAAAGGGTAAACAGTTACGCTTATGGAACACCCGGCACCCGGGTGCAGTGCGATGCGCTCCGAAATACACCACCCTTAACGAACAACCCCGTTTCCCCGTTACGCTTATAATCGATCTCGCGGAATTTGTTCCATTCGTCCCTGAGCTGATATATCCCTCGATTGTCCAATTCGTCGTTACATTATATCCCGTTGTTACCGAGCTGCCTTCGATTTTTTTCTCGATTTCACCTTCTCGAGTTCGGCTCGTAAGCCGAATCTCCCCGGCGTCTCTTTCCGTTCGTTCGTTCGTTCTCGTCGACGCGGACCTCCCACCTGTCTATCTCTTTTCACCTCCGTTCCGTATCGCTGGCATGTTATTCTATTTTAATCCTTTTTTTCTTTCTTTTTCTTTCGTTTGCCCCGACCTGAATATCCTGCGTTCGGGGATGCAATACTAATCCGTTTTACGCCGTTTGTTGCACCACACGGAAGATGCGCGATTTGGTTGATCTCTGTCGCGAAGGGATGAAATACGCGAGCGGATGGTGTCTTGGTCGTGCTCTTCGTTGTGACATCGAATCGTGGTCGTGCGAGCGTCGTCGTACCTCATCGTCTCGCGTCTCGAAACAAACTGGTCAAATCGTCAACGGTGATGCGAGCGAGCGAACGATAATGAAATTGCGCCGGGCAAACGGAGCGAGACGGAAAACGTACTCGCGCTTTCGTACGCACGCGCGAGAAATGTCATTGACCACGTGACTGACTGATCAAGTCCGTACTCAGACATCGCTATGCGGTGGGTTTTTTTGATGGGTTTTTTTTCTCTCTGTAAATTCCCTATCTCGTTATAAATTCATCGATTCATGAAGAAATTTAAGAATCATTTGAGAAAAACTTACAGGACAAAAAGAATTTTTTTTTTAATTTTATGCCAAATAAATGATTTGTATATCAATAGATAGGATTAAAGGATCTGATTTAAATTTTTTTAAGAAAAAAATTTATGGCGTTATTTCACTAATGATATATATAAAGACTACTCAAATTACAATTGCATGAAACATTTACAAATTTATAAGTTGTTTTGTTATTTTTTTCTGAATATTCGTTCATGATTTTCCAAAACAGTCAGAAATTACTTTGAATTTACATTGATGTTTCATAAATAAGAAATTGAAATCAGAAAGAATTTACGATAAAAAGTTTCATCATGAATCAAGAAAATATCACTTATAAATTTTTTTTCACAAAAATATCAAAAATTATGTTCTCTTTGTATTTTGATTTTCTTATAATCCAAAGTTATTTATTTAAGCTTTTATTTAATCTTTTACGCTATAAATATGAGATATATTTTTAAATTTCAATAACTTTTCATGATTGTCAAGACTTTTAGGAATTTGAAAGTTTTATGAAAATAAATTCAAATAAATAGATCTCTTGCAAAAGACTCCAGCAAAAAAATCAAATATCCAGAATATGTGATAAGCGTAGTGATGATTGTTTTTTATTTAACCAGGATGTTTATGCTTATTTGAACTTGTATTTCTTTTCCGCGAATAATCTAATGATTTTGTTTATGCAGTAAAATACATACGTAACTGAGGTTTGAGGTAGCGCTTGCGCATTTATTCCTCCAACACGGTGCGCGATGAGACCTTTAGTGGTGCTGCAAAAACGCGAAGGCGCGAAGTAGGGATGGGAAAAACCCAACGACCTCGGGCAGGGCCAAAGGCATCGTCGATATACATATGTCTTCCACTTTCGTAATTTTGAATGAATATTGAAATTATTACCGATGTATCCCGCGCTCTTTCTAGAAATCGAAATATATCGGTATTTCTCTATTTAGTCCGATACATTAAATTTATTCAAAATATAATTTTTAAAAAAACATGCATTCTGAAGCATTTGATTTCGTATATAGGAAATAAAATAATGAATATGGGTTATTCCTTTGCAGCGGAAATACGCTTCGTAGAAATGACGTTTTACTATGGCTATAATTATTGTTTATATATTGGAAAACACACTCATTGAAAATTCGCTGTTTCCTTAGTATCTAAATACTAATAGGGAAATCTACGCGTACTTTCCTTCTTTCTCCGCGAACTAGATTCCTTGAAGAAGAGCTAAGTTTCCGAACCTCTCGAAATGCCGTTAGACCGTTGTAAATTGCAAACTCGAAATAACATCCGATGATCCGGTGTTTAGATTTTTTCACGTCGCGCCTCATCGGGGCTTTAAACATGTCTTTTTGTTCCCGTCTTATATTTTCAACAATATTACCACTTCAATATTATCACTCTCTTGAGATTATATTTTCTTTAATAAAATATATATATATATATATATATATATATATATATATAAAGGACTATTTTTTCTTTCCTTTAAACTTATCGGCTCAAAAACTTCCGTCCGAAACTTCTTCTTATCAGAATAACAGATACACGATGATATTTTTATTCTATGCATAATGACGTGGCAAATATTAACCAATGGCGCCGTAAGAAATAAATCTTTGTCTTTGAAATAATCATAGGCAAAAGTTTTTGATCTTCTCACTACTTTCCATAAGCATGGATTTATAGAATTTTTTTTATTTTTACAACAGAGGAATAATATTATCAAAATTAAAATATTTCTTTAATTAAACATGGTGACAAGAATCTAGATTTTTTTATTTAAACAACTCAATAAAACTTTCTCAAAACTTTTACTTGAAACAACTATTCTGCAATTAAGTCCTTTCTGAATCTTCCTTTTAAGATACTTAGAGGAAATATTAAATATTTTTGGAAAAAAACAAAAATATTTTTCAAAAGAGAAAACCTGATAAAATGAAAAATAAAGTATATCTCTTTTTCCAGAGAGACAGGAGAAAATAAAGAATGTTAAATTTTTCGTAACATTTTTTTATTAAAAATAATTATATGAATATTTTTATTATATGTGAATATAACAATGATATCGTCATCGTCGTGGTTATTATTAATATATCGCGATAGTGATATATTCATGACTACAATGAAAATGTCTATGTACACGAAGAAGTGAGAGAAATTACTACGTTTCGATGGGAAGCAGTTGTATATCATTACAATGAAATTACACTGATCCGGTTAATGTTCATCGCTGATAAACATTGCATCATTATGGATCTTTCTTCGCTAATATATAAATATGGACATGTACATTGCGCGCACTTACATGTGCCGCGCAGAAGAATGTAAATTTGATTATTCCTCTTCGAGAATCTAATAATCTACTTCACATTTCGCCTTTACTTTATGACTTACCAAGTAAAAACAAGACCCTTGCTTACGAGTATTCGTATCATCGAACACGGATTGAATGTACTCTTCTATTTACATAAAGTACAGCATTAGCTAAGCCGCGAGTATTTCGCTTTCGTTACACATTTCGGAACTGTCGCACCTTTTTTCACATACAAATTCTTGAACAAGAACACTCGCATTAAAAATGTACATTTTGTTCATTGTATTATTTGTACAGACTTGTCTTGGAATATTCTTCGCATCTCAGGATATCTACTCGCATATCTACTCGCGGCGAAAGATTACTAGAGGAAAAATGAAGGACCTTCATCAAGACAACCTGCGTCTACGTGTCGTTGCTTCGTTCGTTAATGTTCGTTAATCGCGTTAAGTTCGTTTCTGAGATCCTCGATTCCCATGCGTTATCTCTGTTATCCGTTTGTCGTTCATTCCTCACTTTGCTGCCAATATCGTTTCGAAAAGCACAGTCTATACAGTCTATAATTGTATTACAATACTTGTCGATTCGAGAGACATATCTCTATAATTGCGTACTACATACATAATACATACTTCAACTAATCTCGTAAAATTCTCTATTTCTTATCTATTCAACTAGTAATCTTTCCATTTTCTTTTTTTTTTTTTTTGTTCTTAGGTCTTAATCCATCCAGCAGATTAAGATAATGTTAAAGACATTTCGAAGCTAGATACCGATTTTTGCGCGTCATATACATTGCGAAGTCATTTTATCCTCAAACGCAATTTCTTCTTTTTTTTTACGTAACAATTTTGTTTTGTGTCCGAATTTAATGTAGCATATAATTAAGATAACATCGTCCAGCGTGTCATCAATTTCGAGCTACAATTTAATTTTAGTAATGCACAATTTTTTCACTTAATTTAATAAAATTAATTTTTCTTCACAAGTAATAATTATTTGTTGAAGTTTATCTCGTAAATGAGGATAATTTCCAAACGCATTAAATTTCAAGATATACCTATCTATTCGCATAAAAGATACAAAACGCGAGACGCAATTTTGATTTCTTTTTTGTCTAGTGAAGTTTTTATTCAATGTAATTCCTCCAACTCAATTCAACCAGACAGATTAAAAGGACATTACAGATATATCAATATGATTCCAGATACGCTATCCGCGCGCATGCATTCAGATATACGCGAATATCTTTCTATCATTCTACAATTATTTAACGCCCGAATTAATCGCGTACGTCGCATTAATCGGTGGATAAACTTTAAACTGTCACTCCGACCGCGTTTTGTGTCTTGACGATGCCGGGTAAGTAATTCGTCCATGTCCTCGTCGTCTCCTCATCTTCGCTGTTATCGGAATTACTGTCAGAATCCGATTCTGGCAGTGGTTCTCGCATAGCGCCATGCCGTACCAGCTCTCTGCGTGCCTTCCTCGCAAAGTCGCTGTTGACGTCCAGGGTCAATTGATAGGCTGTTCTACCGCGATACGTTCGCTCATCCAGACACGACGCACGTTGACACTCTGGCAGAAGGAAGTCAAACAATGGCCGGTTCTCGCGCTCTACCGCAAGATGAAGCGCCGTATATCCCGCCAGACCCTCTTTCGCCTTGAGATCAGCACCTAAACGCAACAGAAGATGCACCAGATCCACGTTTCCATTAGCGGCGGCCACGTGCAAACACATCTCGCCTGAAATAGGAAAAAGAGAACATGTCATATAATAAACAATTGACCATATATGTATTTCTTTTCCTAGTAGTCTAAAGATTAAAGAGTCTCTAAACGATTTTAAATTGAATATCAATCCAAATTGATTGGAAAAGCTAACATTGAAAAGAAGATAGTAAGATAGTAAGTCAGATTCTACATTTATCTAAAGGAGAAATCACGTCATCGAATTCCTAACAAACAATCGATCTAAATTTATTTCTTCGAGTTCTCCATGATTGCATCTCTCCTGATGCAAACCAGAAGGAGGGAGGGGGTACGTATGTACGTCGGAATGATGCGACCGAGTCACATGTCTCGACTCGCAGTGAGATATAGATAGAACTAGGAAGACGCGGTGAATCATTGTCGTCGGAGATTTGGCTGGACTCCCGCGGTCCAAACTAGGTTCGCACCGATCAAAAGTAACTGCTAAAATTAACTGCACCGCATTGCTAGTCGCATTGGCGGAATTTAATATAGCATTGCAGGTACGTGCATTGCACCGCGCCGGTATTGTTCACAGTCGACGACAGAAATAAATCTAACGGATGAAGTGGGTCGAGGCGAGATTTACGAGTATAGCTATGTAAAGGGGTACTCGACGCTTCTTTTTTATCGCGCAAACAAGAAACGCATATGATTGCGGCGACATTGTAAGAACTAAAGATAAAATTCTCAGCTTAGATTTATATGATATTATTTCAGTATGTCTAATACTATAAGAGATACAAAAAAAAGGCTTTATTAAATCGTGAATTTACTTGAAATATAGAAGTATCGAGAGTATCGAGATCGCATATATATATAGTGACATTAGGGCCAAGCATGAAAGGGAATCGATTTTTTTAAGGGTGAAAGTCCGACAGAAGCCACTGATGTCGACGCCGCTGTGGGGTTTCCCGACCGAGCGAGTTTAGCCAAGGCGAGGCGGGGCGAGGCGAGACGAGGCGAGAATGTCGCGCAAAGCACGCAAATAGTCCTACAGATATTTTTAAATATCGAAAACATCTGGTCATGCCCTCCTCCGTCTCGCGGCGTCGCGACGCGGTCGCGTAATGTAACGAGCGCGCGCATGCAAGCACAGAGAGCCACGCCGAATTCCATCGTACATACATCATACATACATACATACATACATACATACATACATACATACATACATACATACATACATACATACATACATACATACATACATACATACATACATACATACATACATACATACATACATACATACATACATACATACATACATACATACATACAT